ACCAATATAGCCAAGTAGCAGAAATAGCCGGCCATCTTTGCGAAGTGCCAGCATGAGTCGTAGCTATGGCGGCGGTGTAAGCAACAACAACAGCAGCAGCAATAGCAAGGATTACACCAGCAACACCGCTACTAGCTACGACGATAGGTACAAGCAGCATAGCGGCAACAGGGAAACATCTTTGCGAAGTGCCAGCATGAGTCGTAGCTATGGCGGCGGTGTAAGCAACAACAGCAGCAGCAGCAATAGCAAGGATTACACCAGCAACACCGCTACTAGCTACGACGATAGGTACAAGCAGCATAGCGGCAACAGGGAAACATCCCGGCCCGCGCTACGACGCAGTGCTAGCGTGTCACGGAATTACGTCCGGCCGTCGCCGCAGGCACGCAGCAGCAGCACGACGCGGGACAGCGCCCGTCCGACTCTCGACAGAAACTCAAGCATCCTGTCGAAGCCGACGACGAGAACGTCGCGCGACAATATGGCGTCGTTAAAACCCAGCGTCGCTGGTAGAGTGTCTAGACGAGATGTAGGGTCGACGAGAGACGTGAGTATATATCGGGGCGCTTACAGATCGTCGACCGCAGTTGACTAACGCGGTATTGGCATGTTGTAGAACAAGTGAACACTGCTTTTGCCATAGGTTTGCCATATAGTGGGGCGGATATGTGTCTGAGGTGTGCACTTCTGGAAAGAAGCATGAAAATTTGCTCTAGGGTGGTCTTGAGTATGCTAATTTCAAAAATTGCGGGAAACACGATGTCACTCCAACGTTTCCCGCCAAAAAATCAAAAATTAAAAATGGCCGCCAGAAATGTTTTTGTTCATAAATCAGCTGTAAGTGCCCCGATTACCATGATCTTGGCGTCTATACCTATGTTTTTAAAGTCAAAGAATGCAATAAAACACATGGCAAATATCATAAGATATAATCTTCCCGCCAAAAAGTTGAAAATTTAAAATGGCCACCACAAAACACAGTTTTGCCCATAAATCAGCTGTAAGTGCCCCAAGTACCATGATCTTGGTCTATATACATATGTTTTTGAGGTCAATGAACTCTATAGAACGGGTATAAAACACATGTGATCTATCACAACATCTTCCCGCCAAAAAATAAAATCCAAAATGGCTGCCACAAACGCATTTTTTTGCCATAAAATGGCTATACGTGCCACGATTACCAGGTCTAGTTATCTATACCTGTTTTTATGTAAAGGAACCTGATGGAAAACATGAAATATCCTAACATACATCTTCAAATTAAAGAAAAACAGTATAAAATGTTTTTTTAGGTCAAAGAACTGGGTAGAACACGTGAAAAATTATGATAAAAACTTAAGTATGCCATCTATACTTCAGTTCATAATTTCTGTTATACTAAGAAAGGTACGCCTGCACGCCCGCCAAAGTGTCGTTCCATCAGATTTCATGAAGACGCAGTGCACGCAATAGAAGGCACGCGCGTATGCCGTGTAAAAGCAATTCAATGGTGTATCATGTATTATGTTAAAACATTAAATGGTGTCTGTCAGTGTCTCATATGATCAGATTTGCTTGCTTATTCTCTGTTACACTGTCCCGAACAGAAGCACATCTGTGTACACTCGAGATTTGCATTGACACACTTGCATCTTTTTGTACATGACTTTTTGTATCCACATTTTAACAGTTCCTGCCTAGCTTTGGCTGCTTCTGGAAGAGGGGTCCAGCATGGAGTCCATGGGGAATCATCTGTCACTCTCTCACAGCCCCATAAATCTGGCGACCAAACTTTTTTAGGGTCTTCTATAAGTGACTGTCCCCAGATGTGCCCTGCCTGATAAACAGCCCTTTTCACATGCTATTCCAGGGCATGCAACGTTAGAGGAATGTTTTCCATCTTACGGCTTTGAGTGAACAACTGCTTCCTGGCTTCATTCACATGGCTGAGTGCTGATGTTCGCTGATACAAGAAAACAACATATCTCTCTATTTGCTCCACGTCGTCGGGGGATACCTGGCTTGGAGCATGGGATAACCGAGCAAAAATCGGTTTGAGATGAGGCATACTGCACCAAACAGCCCAATCTGTTCTCTTTCCAATTCCATGGAAGGCAGGAACAGTATCACATCCTGATATTGCGTGGAAGAGTAGAAGACCCCATGATGCATCGTTGCCTATTTCAGCTGCAATTAGGTGGCACTGAATGTAAAGTAGTTTAGCACCATGACCAAATGTTATCAATATTTCCCAGTATTGTAAAACACTTGGCACTGCAATTGCGATAACCACCACATCAATATCTGTTGCATGTATCATCAGCTTGGTAAACCTATGATGGAATGAATGGGAAGCATAAAACAGGAGCCGTGTGTCTGCTTCTTCGTGAGTGCAGAACAAATCTGACAGGTCAGCTATGGGAGAAGATGCAGCATTCTGGCCATGTGTGGAGATCACTAGCTTCTGTGGAGGAGGTTGAAACTCTTGTATTGCATTGGCTAGAAGTTGGAACAGGCTGTCTTTGTTTGCATCACAGCGAAGGAAGTTCTTTCAGTTAACAGGAATCTTGGTGTCATTGTCCACCCGGAGATGATTACCAGATCCACGGTTCTGTCGTGTTTGTGCCTTAGGCTGTCCTCCCTGTAGACATCCCAGACAACATCTACGCGAACAACGTCTTGTAGCATGTGTTCTATATAGGGAAAGAACACCAATTGTGAATAGTTCTGGAATGTTTTGACAGAAAGTTGGGACTTCTATGGGTCAAGCATGTGCACAAGGGCAGCACCTCAACAATGTTGACATCAACATTTGGAACAGGTTCCGGCTGTGGTACCAATGACTCCAAGCATTCCATCAAGTCAGATTTGCTTGTTTGGCGCATGATACCATTTGACGCCAACGATGGAGGCCAAGCATGAATTTCATGTATGTGCACAAGCACAAGAGTGAACGGCGAAGAGTGTGCGGGCGTGCGGCCGTGCCTGCTGTGAAATAATACCGAGAAATAAACAACCCTAATAGGAGTAAATAGGATTAATAGGATTAATAGGATTATGAAGAAATCACAGAACCTGAACCTCTATTGCAGACGTTGAGTTTACGATTACTATTCAAAACGACGCAGCTCCACTATACGTCGTTTCTGTACTTGACTCAGGTTCGATGACTCAAGGCGGTACGTAGACCAGCTGGTTCGTATCAAAGGGCAGAAGTAGGCAGGCAAGCAGTCAGACAGGCCTGCCTGTACTACGCAGAGTAGCAGTGGCGGATGCAGCAGGGCACATCGGAGCTATTAACCGCGGTTCTCTCCCTGTCCCGGATTCAAAGCCGAAATAATAATAATAATAACGATTATTATTATAATTAATATTATTATTGTTACTACCAGAGTCATTTACTTGCGCAACCCGAGCATTTTACACCTCCACCTTACTTATTGTTTCGCCAAATTTAGCGCTTGTTAGTTGATTAGTTAATTAAGGCAAACCTACAAATGCTGTCTAAAGTGTGCTGCGGGACCTCAGACTTCAGCTGTTTCCATAGCCCCCAGATTTTGCCCTGCCCCCACCGTCGGCCAATTCGTTGATGTGCCTGTACAGCATATCTCTGCCAATAACTACACATTGCTCGTGAAGACGGAGTGACTATATATAGTGACTATGTATATATACTGTGATTGCAGGATCGACCCAAAACTCGTATATGCAGTCGCGTAGAGTAGGCGAACTTGTTCGAGTTTCGTTTTTATCAAATAAAAAAGGTCACCAGCTGTTAACTCTTGAGGTCGAATTCTAACACTTTTTGTTATCCAGGGCTTTTTTATCTGCTGTCGAAACTTAAAGAATGAAATTATGACCCCGGATGTTATTGAACTGTCAAACGTAGAATGCGAAACTGCTACATTCAGTGCAACTCATATAATGATAGCTGTGCCTATATGTGCGCATGATATGCGTATCTAGAATTTTCGTGGTGAAACGCTATCAATACAATATAAGTCATTATCATGCCATCATAAATCGTCATATCTTGTATAACAGATATACCACTAATGGTATTCATACCATTCATTATAGTTTACACTGTTTACTACATCGTTGCTAGTGTACAGTCCCATGGACCCTAAATGTAAGTAGACATAGTTACTAAATCAGCATATGCCTATTTAGACACAATTTGACTTATTGTCCATCAGTTATACAGATAATGATTGTTTATGAACTAGAGAGACAACTTATTAGAATACCTATGCGTTGACTTTGGGATAGGAAGCTGTTTAAGCGCAACCATTTGCATTCAGATGATTAAAGTAATTTACAATAGGCGCGTTCACACTGGCGGGAATTAGCGAGATGCAAATCTCGGTTTTTGCATCGCGATCGAAATCTCGAGATTTTTACAAATGTGAACGCAAAAATCTCACTACGTATCGCGATCAGCATCGCGCTGCAAATCGCCCTTTAGCCTGCGATTATTTCGGAATTAGCGCGATTAATTGCACCGCGGCGTGTGTGAACCAAAGATCCTATAGTGCCGTATAGATCCGTATAGCCGTATGCCGTATAGCCGTAGGCTATAGATCCTCTAGGATCTTTGGCGTGAACGCTCGCGCAAATAATCCCGGTATTTTCTATCCCATCATTCCAAGCGATCGTATATCAACATCCGGCAGTGAGCGGTGCTGGTACTGACGACATTTTTATTTCATCTTTCATTTTTACCGTGGTCTGAGGAATTTAAACCGTAACTATTAATTAACTATTAACTATTAACTGTTAATTAATTATTAACTGTAATTATTTTTGTTAACTGTGTGATTGTGACGGGACTAAATTAAGTGATGCCGAAATCGAAAGCTACAAAGGCAGTATATCAGGTGGGAGTGGGAAGAAGACGTCGGGATCTGGAGGGACGCACTGGAAAGATGAGGAGGCGTTATCGCTTATAAATATATGGGGAGAAGAACAGATTTTCCGTGAAACGGAGAACACGAGGTCGAAGAAGAAGCCGGTAATTCCAGTATCGTCGCCGGCGTTCTCTTTCTTGTCGACGAAGTCGGCGTCGAATTCGCTGATACATCTTGGCAGCAATTGACTTGGCCGTTTTGGCATGTTTCAAGAAAGGAGGGTTAATCGCCGATCTCAATTCAATCTGAAAAGATGCAGTCTCGACTCTATACTAACAATACGATGTGTTTACGTAAATACGTGCAGACGTAGAGTAGCATAGGTTAACGTAACAGAGCTAGAGTAGCATACGTTAACGTAACAGAGCTAGAGTAGCATACGTTAACGTAACAGAGCTAGAGTAGCATACGTTAACGTAACAGAGCTAGACTACTACCAACGACTGCACTGCCGTGTACGTGGAATCGAACACCGAACTCGAATCCCGGTAGTACATAATTCGCGCGCGCGCGACCGGAAGGGTTATATATTTCGGCTTGATATCAGGCATGCGCAGTTCGATTAATAGAATTATCCCGCTCGGCGATTAGCGAGATATTTTCGCCTGTGTGAACAAGGGCAAAATTATCTCGGTATTTCCATCGCGATTAGCATCGCGGTTTTTCTTGTGTGTGAACACGCCTATTGATAGCTAGGTTCATATTTCTTCGTTTTCATTCTGGCCTACCCATTTGTGATACTGTTCTCGTTTATGTACCTCTATCTAATAGATATGATAGTTAAAATTCGTTTATTGAACAGTCTTTGACATGACAAAAAAAACACATTTTAAAAGCATCCACTAATGGTAAACCTAGACGCCACTATTAAAAGTGGCACACGGGGAAAGTTTGTTGCTCTCGGCTAGCAGACATGGTGTGAGTCGCATGTTGTGTGCGCCTGTAGAAAAACAGTGAAGTCTGCGGCATACAGGCGAGCAGGCTAGGCTGGCTGCTGCTATTGCCGATTGCTGGGCAAACAAGCTATAGAGCTGTTACAGCAGAGAACGCCGCGCCATCTGCTTCATAGGCTTATGCTTCCAAGCCGACGCCCATGCATACACGCGCACGTACGCACACACACGCATGCACAGGCATACACGCACGCACACACGCGCGCGCACACACATGCACATGCACACATACACGAGCCAATGCAGACGCATGCACTCACACGCACGCGAACGCGCACACATGCACGCACGTACGCGCGTGCGTGATTACCGTGAAAGTACGCAGTTTTGACGGGTTGAATGCTGCTAACTACAGCAACGCCATGAAAAAAAGCATTCAAACTAGCAGCAGACCTGGGCAGCCTGCACGCTGATGCGCACGGAACTGAAATAACTTATTCACGGTCGCCAGGGGATGTTGGGTGCGTCACACTCAAGGTCATTCACACCCTTACCATCATGCCGCACGCATTCAACATGGTATGCTATTTTTTCTGCTCAACCCCTCATATAAAGCTCTCTTCCTTCCCCTCTCCCTATCTTTCTCGGTGTATGTCTCTTTGTCTCTTTATCTCTCCCTCTCTCTCTCTCTACGGGAAGATGTTATGATAGATCACAATGTGTTCTATACCCGTTCTATGGGGTTCATTGATCTCAAAAACATATGTATAGAGACCAAGATCATGGTACTTGGTGCACTTACAGCTGATTTATGGGCAAAACTGTGTTTTGTGGTGGCCATTTTAAATTTTTGATTTTTTGGCGGGAAGATATATCTTATGATTATTTGACAAGAGTTTTATTGCATTCTTTGACTTTAAAAACATAGGTATAGACGCCAAGATCATGGTAATCGGGGCACTTACAGCGGATTTATGGGCAAAAACATGTTTTCTGGTGGCCATTTTTAATTTTTGATTTTTTGGCGGGAACCGTTGGAGTGACATCGTGTTTCCCGCAATTCTTGAAATCAGCATACTCAAAACCCCCCTAGAGCAAATTTTCATGCTTCTTTCCAGAAGTGCACACTTTAAGTAAAAAATGTCACATATATCCGCCCCACTAATATGTTTGCCATAGGTTTTGCCATAGACTAGAAGAATATCAAAGATAGCCTTAGTCTATGGTTTCGCGTAACTCGCCGTCACGTGCTAATCGGTGCATTAATGCAATCGGTGTAATTCTATTCGGTCGCTGCTTAGCGACGTGTGACAACGATGACTACGACGGCCGACCGGTCGGCCTTCTAGCTCGACTCACACAAAGTAGTCATAATAATATCAACTGTCGTGTTGTAGTAGTAGTATAGTTGTATAGTTCTAGTAGTAGTATAGCTACTTAACGAACTCACGCCATTGAATACCATTCGTTGCGTTTTGATGGAGTTTATAGCTATGTAAAAATGTTCATTAAACTTGACCTTTCACGTTTATTCGATATATATTAGTTTGTTATTATACAATACCTAACTTAAAATCTATTCTAGTTGGAGCCAAGGGTTTTTGTTTAAGCAAACCTTTGCCTGCATCCTAGTTTGGCGCATGCCTACGTGTAGCAACTACTGGTAGCGTCGCAACGAACACTTTGAGAGGTGATATCAGGGCCGTAGCCTGTGTGTGTGGGGGGGGGGGACAAGGGGAGCAGCTGCCCCTAGATGTTGGAACAAAATTAAAATACACCTACAAATGTTTTATTTTGTAAAGATTTTTTTGGTCACTTATCTGTTAAAGCCTTGTCTCAGACGCACCCCTACCACACTGAACGTCGATCAAGAGCTGCACCCGTCCCTCACCATTACACAGTTGAGTCATGAAATTTTGCCTCCCCCCAAGGAATTTGCTCAGCCTACGGCTTTGGATATAATACCTATTATGCTATATAGAATCGATATTATATATGAGTCGCAATGAAAAAAGCAATAGCCTAGCTTCTCTGGCCAGTTTTGTAGTTAGTTCTGTTTAACATTAGAAACCATATCGCCATTGTAGCTACGCCCGGGGGACGTGTAATTAAGGTCGAATACATACTGAGTCCATATACACCTTCTGGGCTAGCATGGCAGGTTTAAATTGAAGAGTGCTACAAGTAGTTCGTACTAATGATTAGAGCTGATAGCACGTGCACTTCTGTAATAAGTTATAGTAAAGAATATAAAACCCTTATTTATGTCTGCGGGTGATGATAACACGAGAACATATATACGAACTGTACCTGTAACTACATATATGACTGACTTTGGTTGCAAGTCTGTGCAACTATAGCTGAAACTGTAAGTGTAAGCGTTATTGTAGTTGCAACTCTAAGTTTAACTCTACCCGTTGTAACTGTAACTATAAATGTAAGTGTAATTGCAATTGTAAATACAACTGTAAATGTATCTCTGGCAATATAAAAGTTATTGTAAGTGTACCTGTAACTGGTAATGTAAATGCAAATGTAATTGTAACTGTAACTATAACTGTATCTGTAACTGTAACTGTAACTGTAATTGTAACTGTATCTGTAACTGTAGCTGTAACTGTAAATGTAACTATAACTGCATCTGTAACTGTAACTGTAATTGTAGCTGTGAATGTAACTGAAACTGTATCTGTAACTGTAACTGTAAGTGTAACTGTGCATGTAACTGTAGCTGTAACTGTAACTGTAACCGTAAACGTAACTGTAACTGTAACTATAACTGTAACTGTAATTGTATATATAACTGTAACTATAATTATTACTATAACTGTAACTGTAACTGTAACAGTAGCTGTAACTGTAACTGTAACTGTAACTGTAACTGTAACTGTAACTGTAACTGTAACTGTAACTGTAACTGTATCTGTAACTGTAACTGTAACTGTAACTGTAACTGTAACTGTAACTGTAGTCTGTATTTTTAAATGTACCGTAACCGTAACTGTAACTGTAACCGTACCCGTAACTGTAACCTGTAACTTACTGCTCGTTGTGAGCTGATTTCTCGCGCATAGGTCGAATATGATAACAGATGAATCTCGCATCGCATCTGTGTAAATCCCACCAACACAACATAACAGGCTATTAGAAGCGCCTCACTGCCAAGCACGAATCATCTTTAACATCAATCAAACCTGGCATCACTGTTCAAGTGTAAAGTTGGAGATGATGCGCGTAATTGCATGTGTGGGATTCCCAAAGTGCACACACATTACACATAGAGGAGACAAGTGAGAAAGAGCCATACAAGAGAACGAGAGGCGGATAGAGAGCATAAGGGTGAGAGAGACAGAGAAGGAAGTGTGTGAGAGAACGAGAGAGTGGGAGCGAGAGAACGCGAGAGCGAGATGAAATAAGGAGGGTTACGAAAGAACAGTATAGAAAATAGCTAGCATCATCACAAGCATCGCGCACAATATGGATCGATGCGCATGTATAAAAAAAAACTCAGCGGTAGCCCTGTTTATGTCTACATGGCTTCATGCGAGAAGCGCCTATGTTCACTCATAGCTGAGCAGGTCAACAGATGCGAAAGCCGAGCTAGTGTATGAGCGAGGCGTCCCAGATTGTCTGTTGATATATTTCCGGAAAGAAAACACGTGCAATGAATTTCCGGCTATACAGAAATCAAATTTAACAGCATTCCCGTCGAAACATCACCATATAATTTATGTTTCAGCCGCCGTTAATCTGCTCGACTAAATTTAATAACTCTGTCCACGATCAACTAATCCACTAAATCTCGCCATACTAGGCACTTCTAAAAGCACGAGTACCTTGAAAATCGAGAATACGAATAAAGTGCAAGTGAATGCAAATGAACCAATCATCGGTGATGAGCTATAACAACTAGTAAATTAATGTAACAAACTATTTAGTTGCGTAGGACTTGGTCATTTTCACTGGACGTATTATAATTAATTAATATCCTCGGATTAAACTAGCGACAGCGCCAACGTCAGTTGGATGCAGCAGGCACGAACCTAGCCGAAACGCCATCCTTCCTAACTCTACACTTTTTCAGGTGACAAGGCCTGCACTGCATCGTACTGACTCGTTTCTTTGTGTGGCTTTCAGCCTTACGGAAGCAGTGCGGCGACCGACGCGCCACCCTCGGGCTCCTACCGTAGTGCGGGAAGCACGAAGGCATACGCTCCCCATTACCAGCTCCGCCAGTCTGACCTCATGCCGTCCGCCGCCACACCGAGAGCTGGACGCTACGACACGGGCAGCAGCTACGGCAGCAGCAGCGCGAGGACCCCGTCGGTAGATCGCTACTCCACGGGAGGCAGCGGTTACTCCGGCGCAGCGAGAGATTACTCTTTAGACAGGAGCATCGGACGCGACAAGGGCTACGGGTACAGCACGGACGCCGACAGCACGTTCTCCTACAAGAAGGGCTACACGCCGGCCGCCGATCGCGATACCTCGAGAGACAGGACCGGCTACAAGGGAAGCTACGGCACGGACTACGGCACGCTTCGCTCAGGGTATACGTCCGATGCCGATACGCTGAAACGAAGGTCCGGCGCCGGGTACACGTCGGACGCCGACACGCTGCGAGGACGAGGACAAGGAGTGTACTCGTCCCCGTACGCGCAGGAGCGCTCCTACAATTCACGCAGGAAAGATGGCTCGCCGCCGCGGCGCGAGGCGTCGTCATACGCCAGCGACGCTCCCGTCAGTCGCGGAAAGTCGTACGCCGCGCGCCGTAGGGAGGTGTCGCCACCTAGGGAGAGATCAAGCGGTTACGGCAGTCGCCGGGAGGTGTCGCCACCTAAAGAGAGATCAAGCGGTTACGGCAGTCGACGAGAGGTGTCGCCACCTAGGGAGAGATCAAGCGGTTACGGCGGTCGCCGGGAAGTGTCGCCTCCCAAGGAGAGAACGAGTAGTTACGGTAGTGGCCCATCTAACTTCTCCGGTTATCAAACGCCATCCACGCCAACGCGGACTAGCTACCAGTCACCCGCTTACAACCGCGCCTCCTACAGTCATGACCCGCCTCACCACGCCGTACCGCCGACGCCCTCGTCAGCTGCCTTGAAGTCCTCCGCCGCTACCTCTGCAAAGAACTCGAAATCTCCATACAACGAGCCGTCGCCACGGCAAACGACGACGCCGTCGCATCCTCCGCTGCAGCGCACCACCGCCGTGTCGAGTGCGTCGGAGAGTAGCGACGACGAGCACTGGAAGCCGGCCGCGCAGCCGACGCCCGCTTCCGCTGGTCGGCATGCCCCCGCAGCGAAGCCGCCCAAGGCCTCGTCGGCCGCCGACCGATACGCGAAACAGCGTGCGCCGTCGGCTAAGAAGCCCGTCGCCAAGCCCCCCGTCGAGCATCTGCACGGCTGGCGCAAGAAAGTGTACGGCGACAGCGACGACGATTACGAGGATGACGACGCCGAGGCGGGCCACGGCCTGATACGAAGCACGGCCGACATACGGCGGGACGCGCGCGTAGAGGGCGTGAAGAAGTACGGCCTACGACACGAGGTGATCGACATCCCCAAGGCGCTGCCGCTCGCCATGGAGCGACGCACCAAGCAACCGGCGCCGCTCTTCTTCCCCGCCGGATATCACGTGCTGACGGGAGAGAAGCTCGACGACGGCAGCGAGACGCCGAAGACGCCGAGCAAGCAGCGCAACCTACGGGAGAGCATCGACAAGGTGAAACAGTGGAAGCAGGAGTTCGCCGACGATGACACGCCGCGCTCGTCGAAGAAATTGCAGCGAGAGCACAAGCTGAAGCTCGATATCCCGCCGCCGAACGCCGCCGCCGTGAAGGATCGCCGCAGCCGCATTCACACCTACAAGGACGACGCGGACGCCGACGCGCACCAGGGCGAGCCCGACCTGCCGAACAAGGACTTCCGAAAGTCGCTGCTAAACCGAGCCGACGTCGACGTCGACGAGCAGCAGTACGAGGAGGAGCTGAGCACGCGCGCGCAGGCGAAGAAGGAGCGAGAGCGGCGCATGCTGGAGATGAAGGACGAGAGAAGGCGCGCACCGCGTCGGTTCGTCTATCGGGAGACAGACGTCAGCGAATCCTCGGACCCCGGCTTCACTAAGGAGATGTCGCACAACGCCGCACGGCCGACGGCACCGCAGAACGACATACCGGTGATCGCGTCCCATGCGCGGCGACCGGGGGAGGCGGAGGGGGAGCTGCCGCGGTTTCCCGTCGAAGCCGACTACGAGTACATCAAGGAGGCGATCTCGGAGAAGGCGAAGCCGAAGAAGAAACGCGTCCAGAAGAAGTACGGCGACAAGCAGAAGAACACGTCGTCGAGATCGCTGACGACCGATTCCGAGGCGATATCCGAGGACCGACTCACGGTGCCGTCGATCGACGAAAGCGCAGAGAGAAGCGAGGATGGTAAGTCTCCGTATGACAACGTGGAGCGACAACGCAGGTACCCGGATGAACCCGGGTGCGGACACAAGGAGCCCGCCGAGAGAGACTCCGGCTATCTGGAGAGAGCCGAGTCACCCTACGATAACCTACTCGCCGAGTCTTCCTCGCCGACGCACACGCACAGAAAGAAGGCTTCCTCTCTCAGCTCTCTCAATGATTCGGCCGTCAGTCTCCACAGCAGCCCCGGGCAAGAACGCAAGGCTAGGCACCGGGCTAACAAGTTCATCGGCAGCATGAGAAACATCGACGCGCTGTTAACCGCTGAGGACGAGAGCGAGTACGACTTCGACGAGATGGAGAAGCGCTACGAGGGAGATGAGGAGCTGCATAGGAGCGATCCGATAACGACGCTGTCGCCACCTAGCGATTCCGACGACGACGATGACGTCACGCCGGTCGGTCCGTACGGAGAGACGACGCGGCGACAGATCTGTACGACTCTCAGCGACGACGACGACAGCTGGGACGATAGCGACGATGACGATGACGAGTTCATTTACAGGCATAATCGTCATGGCAAGGTGAGTTCGTCTATAATCGCGGCTAACTATACCAGTGTAGCCCCTGGAAGCTACAAGAGCTTTCTGTAGCGCGAGGGAAGGGGCTACATTGGTATAGCTAGATCACGGCATGCTGTTAGAGCAGGGTTCTTAACCTGTGGTCCATGGACCCCTTTGGGGTCCGTGGATGGGCTTCAGGGGGTCCGTGAACCAAGCGCATTTTGTGTTTATGTGCTTATGTGCATTTTTTGGGGGAAGTGGTCCGTAGCTTTCACCAGATTCTCAAAGAGGTCCATGACTCAAAAACGGTTAAGAACCACTGTGCTAGAGCAACAATACATCAAAGCTCAGGAAAACTACTTCGTGTTCTCTACTTATACTATGGTACAAAGGCAGGACTATTACACATTCATACACATGCACACGCACACGCGCACGCACACGTGACCGCGCACGCGCGCGTACATTCAACAGCTGCAGTGCAATATGCAAGACGGTTACACATTTAAAGGTCACAGTAGGCTATATGAAATTTCATTTGTACGTTGTAGTTGTTGGCGTTTTAAGGAATTTACCCATGCAAGTATACAAGACAGTATCGCTATGGTATTCGGAAGGTAACGCTCTCCATCTTTTTAGATCTATATACTTTAATATAATATTGCATTTTGAGTGGGTAAGAAGAAAGAGGCATGTACAAAGATGTGACAGCTATGTCGACGAGTATGTAACTATCATGTAACAACAGTGATAGAGCAACGGTTCGAGAATGAATGACAGAAAGTGGAGAAGATAATGCGTTACTTGCTAGAGTTGTAAAAAAACAAAAGGGTTAGAACGCAGATTCAGGAAAAATTATCTTCGCGGTACACTCAGACTAAATTTTGGCAGCTTTTATTAATAAATTTCCCATTACCTAGTTATTTAATTGTAAACGTCATCCATGCAATTACCTACTCTCAATCTAACGGACAGGTAAATAATGAAAGGTACAGCGGTGGAAAAGGATACGCCATATACTCATATTTTTTTCGCAGTGGCTGGAGGTACGGTAGCCGTCGGTCGTTCAAGCCCCTTTTTTGCGTTAGGGTTAGGGTTATGGTTAGGATTAGGGTTAGGGTTAGGTTTAGGGTTATGGTTAGGGTTAGGTTTAGGGTTAGGGTTAGGTTTAGGGTTATGGTTAGGGTTAGGTTTAGGGTTAGGGTTCTAGCTCATCTAAACTCTCAAATCGTGAATTTATTTTCCAAGGCGGTATTTCGAAATCTAGCGCCACCGCCGCCATCTTTGTCTCGTTAAGTATGAAAGCGAATGGACTCCCGTACCCGTAGCCTCGAGACATTAAGATACGGCTACCGTACCCGTAGCCACTGCCTATTTTTTTCATTTTTTTAAATATTTTTATTTTATTTATTTATTTCGATAATTAACAAAGCATACATTACATCGATAACATCATAAATAAACAAAATCCAGCTAGAAAATTATCGAGGATGAAAACACAAAAAGCGTGGCTAACACACTTATTTCCATTGTGGTCCAACATAACATTGTACATACTATAAACTATAGCAAATATACCCACGATCCCCAAAATTTCAGAGTGATACAGTGATACAGTACAAAACATTGTTATACAGCATGAAGAAAAAATATATACAAAAAAAAACTTCAGCATATTATGTACAAGTAAAGTGATTAAGGTAAGTGTTGGAGCAGTTATATAAAAAAAGAAAAAAAAAGAAAAAGGAAGCTTTCTGAGTGATACAATACAAAACAGTGCTATATACCACGAAGAAAAAATATAAACGAGAAAAAAAACCTTCAGCATATTCTGTACAAGTAAAGTGATTACGGTAAGTGTTTAGCAGGTAGACATGATGTTTCCTGAGCGAATACAGTACAAAGCAGTGCAGAACAACATGAAGAAAAAACTAAAAACACACAAAAAAAACTTCATCAAATTTTGTACAAGTAGTACCCTTTTAGCACATCATTTCGACACTCGGTTCATACACCATTATATCCACATTACAAACATAACATATTTCGCACACACTCACAATTGTATAGATATAAACGAATTGAAAAGTGCAATAGTGTTGGGCAGTTAAAATGGTAATTTTGAGTGATACAGTACAAAGCAGTGCATATACAACATGAAGAAAAAATAGATACAAGAAAAAAAACTTCCGTATAGCCTGTGCAGGCAAAGTGGGCACTTTACCATCATTATATACATATTGCATACATACTTACACCCACACTCATATTTATATAAGTGTAATATAATTATATGTAAGATAATACTTATATCAATTATAAAGACACTGATAATTGTAATAGTGATGAGATCATGTCACCCCTATATTTAATCTATTCATTTATACGTGATTAGTAAAATATGAAGTCACTGTCTTCCATTGTCTTTACCTTTTCCATAAGGTGTTTTTTAACTTGCCCTTTGAAACTAATATATCTGGCTGCAGATCTAATGTGAGATGGTAGGGAGTTCCAAGCTTCAATTGAAGTATATATAAATGTCTTTTTTCCATTGACCCCCACTCTTGGTTTAAAGATTGACAGCTCCCCAGCCCTAGTTTTGAAGCCGTGAATTTCCGAGGTTAATGTAAATCCTTCAGTCATGTATTCGGGACTGAGATTATGCAGAATTTTGAAGACATGGTTTACCTTCAGTTGTACTACTCTGAACTCGACTGGAACCCAATTTACAGACAGGAACTCCCTTGCACCTATATGGGTTCTTGGCCCCAGATTTAGAACACATCTAATAGCTTTATTTTGGCATACCTGCAACTTGCATTTTGTTTTCATTGATAGGCTACTGTACCAAACACTACACGCATAATCCAAATGACAATTAATCAAGGCAGTAACTAGTAATTTTTTACATGATTTGTTTAAATATTTAGCTTTCCTGTAAATAAATTTTAGTCTATTGTTGACCTTTTTGACAACTTTGCTTCCTGTAATTTCAGCAGTCAAATTGTGTTCTAAGTCCACTCCTAAATATTTTACTGCAGTCTTACTTTGAATATCTGACCCATTGCATGTGACAACAAAGTTTGTAAGTCGACTGATTTTATTTTTTGATCCAAACAGAATGGTTTCTGTCTTTCCAAGGTGCAGGGATAGATTGTTGTCACACAGCCATCTACTAACCGATTCCATTTCCAAGCTTAATTTTTCCTGGATAACCTGAATGTCAGTTCAGTATTTTACTTTGCCATTTGAAGATTACAGGTAAAAGAATATGAAACATGAATTTAAACATTTATTTAATAGTTGATATTATCACATTTATTTTTTATGGGAATTAGTGAACACGCGTATGCATACGAAGCTACTTTAGAATATTCTTGCTGAGGACTATCATCTCATCATCATGTAGACGCACATCATAGGTTAATTTGTCATGTACTATCGCATGTGCTTAATGTTATTTTCATTTGCTGGTTTTATAGAGTTAAAATCTAATTACGTGGCAGTTCTGTATTTGAATTACAGAACGCGTGAAACTTATATTTGAATGATCCTGCGTTGGAACATAATAGGAGCATATTCCGAATTTAAATCTTCTTCAGCAATAATTTCGCCTTGCAAAATGCACTAAACTCGCACACTAAAGAATTAAAGTGTGCGAAAATTACCTGTATCACATCCATTATTATCAAAGTATACAATCACAGCAACAACTAGTTTTCTATATAATTTGTGTATGACTTTTGAAGTAAACTGTTAAAAATGTTTGTCCTATGCGAACTCATGGCAGTAGATGGCGCTGCGATGCGATAACTGGCAGAGGCTCAAAGTTACATATCTATTTATGGTAACATACGATACATTTGCTTCTAGGCAAAATAATTATAACCACACTAAATACGCGAAACTGGCTTAATAATACAATGATTATAAGAAGAAAGCATGTTGTTATTATGTTTATAACTAATTTTCTAGGCATACGAGTTACGTTGGAAATACTATATACATGGTAGCTATATAGAGAGAAGTCAATTACCCCTACCAGCGTATAATTATCCCGCTGCGACATTTAAAAACATTAAAATCTGAGTTATGTGTTTATTTATTGTGATAATGTTCCGCACGTTTCGCTGCAAATTAATAAGAATAACACCGCGAGAAAGTCACACGTGGTTGGTTGTAGCACAGTAGTGGTTTACAAAAACATTACTTGGACATTTCGGGTTTATCTGATTGGCTAAGGTGGACGCGCTAACTGTGGTATTCATCCGCCAGACGATCTTATAAATCATACTTTTATTTAAAAGACACGGACATGACAGCAATATTTCCCTAGCGCGTATTTAAAAATGCCAGCAAAACTTATTAAGCAATAACGGTAACTTGATATGCCTCCATATACTGAGTGAAGCGGCTCGTGCTCCAAAGCGGTCTAGCTCGTAGCGTGTTGTGGCGGATGTAAACAGCGGTACGCGGCACACAGCAGTTGCTATGCACAGCCAGAGGCTCTGTGCGCCCGACAGAAGATGGCGACGTTTGCTTGTAAAGTGCAGTATATCGACGATACCGACCCGTTTTCAAGTACAAATTACCCCGAACCATCTAGACCACCAACTTACACGTTTGTGAAGGATATACCTCTGATAAATCAGATAGCTCAAGTACATAAGTTGCTGAATGCACCGCATAAGGTGAGTGGTGGAATCGTAGTAATGCACAGTCAGTGCGCTCGTCGCTCGATGCGCTACCGGTGTTTGTTTTGATTCCATTGAGCCTAGTTTTTACCAGATTTTTTAGCATTCGGATGATAATGATGCTTGATTTTCATATCATATGATACAAATTAGAAGTGTACTGCAATCGTGTACAAAATGTATACAAAGTACATATTTATACATTGTAGTATTAACTATTATTATAGTTATACAAAGTATAACGTACGTTTATTTTGAAATTTCAGTTTGATCTTCAAGTGTAGCTAAATAGTAAATATTATTTTAACCAGGTTGGAAACATCTCGATTTTAATATATGTCAGTGGGCTCAGAGTTTACAATGATGTCTAAACATGCAAGCTCTCGGACTGTCTAAATAACATGGCAATAATGATAAATTCCACGTTGTATTTGTACTTGTAAACACATGTACATTTATCGAACAAACGGCTGACAGCACTACGCGTGAGATCAATAATTATTCTACCTTAGGGCTGCACTCCGCAATGATGGGTTAGGGTTAGGTTAAGGTGAAGTTGGTGCTGGTTGTGATAATGGATGTACAGGCAGTCACAAAGTATACGTGAGCCAAAGGTGTGTTATTGCAAGCCGTTTTGATTTTTACATGCGATGCACGTACTTATATGTTAGTCTATTACTATTAGTATTACAGTCCGACCTCCTTTATCTGGCCACGTCGGGACCGGCACCCATCCGGATATGGGATTTGGCCGGATATGAGAGTTATGCTCAAACACAGCATTTCTATGCAGTTCAGTAGGGTTTATGCATGTGACAATGCATTTACTCGTTGCTATGATTATTTGTAACAAACTGTCGTGTTTTATGGTTTATATGAAATGGAAATAAAATGAAATAAAACAGAAATTTTACCGGAGGCATAGCGGACACGAGGGGACAACACACACACATGCGCGCGCACACACGCAAACACACGTACGGTTGGTACATCGCGCGAGTTTTGAGCGAGATTTTTATGTGGAAATGAATGAAAAACAGAGAACATACACTGCGAGATCGCCGCCGGTTAACAGAGATTTCCGGATAACGGATGGCCGGATAAAGGAGGTCGGACTGTACTATAATTTACAGAACAAAGTGGAAGGACAAAGGTGGATGGAAAACAACAGAATAAAGTGAAAGCCAGTGATAAATATGATAGCTTGTTCCAAAATGAAATTTTAATATCGGTTTTATAATTTACATGCCAACAAAGCACATCGCACGTAGTACTAGTAGGAAATATTTTGTGCACTTATTAGCGCTCTTCTTACACAAGTTGCCATCACTTACTCTCAACCTTCGTATGCTCTATAGCCATACTGTAATTATGATTATAATCAAAACATTTGCTTTGAGCAGCTTAGAGTTTGTCAAAAATTCAAATTCCTCTCCATTGCAGGTCATCATGAACACATGGTGAAAATAAACATGCATTCTTTACACCAATATAGCCTTGGCTATATCATACAGACCTTCTTAATACATGAACAGGGTGCAACTTGGCTGCGGGAATCTACAGTAGGCCTACCTTGGAGTCCTGTACTCTTAGTCATATTTTTTATAATGTAGAATGGTTGTGCATAGAGGTCCGTCTTTCAATGTAGCAAAAAACGCTTGGAGCCAAAAAACACGGAAAACGTGCCAAGTAAATTGCGTTCGGTATAAAACCTACAAACAGATACAGTACAAACGTAATGATAAACCAGTCACTGATAGGTCCGACTGTTTCCAGTTAGTAAATAGTAACACTCAGTCTCTATATATTCATACAAATCATGAATTTAGTTCTAAGCTTTTAATTGAAGGTGAAAATCCACATTGATTACAACCAAGACATTCCTTATGCGGTTTGTGCATTTTTTCAGCTCGAAGATGCTGCGATTCAAGTGTCGAAAGTCGGGGATGAATGCGGGCCTTATCTGGACCTGGAGTCCACCCTTGATGAGCAGGAAGAAGAGTTGGAAGACTTTGATAACAGGTGGGTCATCTGTAATAGTGGATCATCCAATGGTCATGCATGCAAGCTGGATTTTTGTTTTTGTATTAAGACATCACGACTGACTAACGTATTGATTAAGATTTTTTTTCAGCGCAAATATGAATTGCTAGACAGGTGATATGTGATGTATGGGTAATGTGAATTCATGACTAGGGTAGGTTATGATTACATGAACATCTCATTGATAAGATTACCACATAGGACCTGTATTTGAAGAATGGCAAAGAAAGGAAGATCCGTGTATAGCAATAGCCATATACCCACGGATGGTATACTATTCCCCTAGTACGCTTCTAAGCAACTGACCTTTCATTCTACTTCTGTACCAGATTGCATATGTTTGGCTAGAGCAGGAATTTGCAGGGAATGTCCTGCCATCTGCTATATAACGTCAGGTTAGAATCAATGTCATGTGTGCAGAGAGCATGAGTCCAAGTTTGACTGAGAGAGACCAACTGGTGGTGTAACGTCAACATTTCTCAGAGGCTACTAAGGTCATCGTTTTCTTTAGGCCTCGAGTGCGTGTAAAACAAATAATAATAGTGTAAATCATTCTCACATCAACTTAGGCACAAGCCAGCTGCTGTGTCCCAGCCTGGGCTTCCCAGTTGTTGTGGGTCCCAGCGTGTCGTCCCGCGGGATCTTGGCCCCAGCAGGAAGCTTAAAGAAACGTTCGTGGACGTACTATTCACCATGTATATTTTAAGGGTTATGGGTTCTAGCGTCAACGATCGAAACCTTCGCAGTGATAAATATTTTACAGCCGTCTTGCAACAAACGATTAGAGATGCGCTTGTAAATAAATACAGCATAGTATCAGCCGATAAGTCCGATCACAGATATAGTAGCAGACCTAACATAATAAAATCTGTCACGATCTTACCTCTGATAGTATAAATATATAATACAGTCGCGGAATACAGATAGCAATATTAGAAAATCAAGCGACTGTGTGTTCAGTGTGCATAGAGGATTGGAGAGGGTGGAGAGGTTGGTTCCTGTAATCCTGTCCAGAAACCAGATTTCGCTCACATTAACTTTAAAACAGTAACAGTATCCTCTGCAAGACTACCACGTTACTTGCATGTTTGTGGCTGTTACTACTAACAGTCTGAACCGTCTCTCAGGTCTGTTTGATGTCCTGCCAAAAATAGATGCCAGGGCTGTGTGCCTAAGGGACTAATTGCAGCAGTAGCCGGGTGCATATTCTTACTGGGCAAGAGCATTAGGAACTAACTACCTAATAATTGCGTGCACATGCTATGTATGTTTTTACAGAAAAAAGTATTTAATCTCGTTTTTATTCTAGGGCTATTAAGTTTCAATCCTGTGTAAATATTCGAGACTAGCTGTTTTGTGTGCACATCGCTGCAATTTACCAGTTCAAATTAATCACAGTGCTACAAAACTGTTGCCATCAGGATAGCTTTCAAGTTTGCATAAAGTATATATATAATATGTGCTTTACGCATAAAAATTTAATTTTAGGACTGATCCAAAATATTTTTGTACTGATAGTTTGACTACTGACTGCCTTTGTGATGCAGTACTCATCTCTATTTGCGCATGTGACAACTTTTGAAAGTGTCACTTCAGTGATTGATCTTGATCTGGACTGATCTCGAAATTTAAATTATTTCATATGATAAAATGAAATCCAATCGAATGACATTATTCCGAGATGTATATCGTACAGTTGTAGTTAATGTGTTTTCTAACTCTAGCAATTTTGTAATAATTGTTAGTAGGCAGCTGACTTCAGGGTGCGAAATTAACGCGAGTCCGGAGTCAAATACTCCCTGATTTACTGTTGTCGGACTCCCTGGTCGATTTGACATATGCAGGAATCCGTGTGACTCCCTGAAAAATCTGCTATACTGCTAACTAGTTCGTTCCAGAGCATGCCCTTGCGGAATTACCGTATTTTTTCAGCAAATGTCCAAAGAAAATTGGCAGACGTGCAACCGCATGAATCTTCAAAATAAGCACATGCTTATTGCTAATAGCACAGCATTTAGTTTTGAACTTCAAACTGCAGACTCCCTCATTTTGCTGCGGACTACCTCTTTTTGAGGGCAGCGGACTCCCGTGTTCAAAAGTTAATTTCTACCCGTTTGACAATTGCGTAGTACTGCTCTATCACATCACGTTGCCATTCATTATTTCTGCCAGTTATTACTTTACGTATGAATATTGCGTATATAAGTTCAATTTCAGAGAAATAAATAAATTGAGTTGAATTTCAATTGAATTGAATTAAATTTTGCCCACCTTGTCTCTTTGCAGCAGGAAGAATTCTTTGATTTTGCGCACACAGCTGGCAGTGAGAGTACACGCTTGCATCGGTGAGTACAGGGTGCATGTACCCGTGACCCTCGCCGTGGTCACTGATGTTTCTCCCCCCCCCCCTCCCACCCTGAGAAAGACTTTCACTCTTTGTAACAGAGGTATGAGATGTAGGCACACTGGTGTACACGCGTTAGCATCATCTGTCGCCCCCGGCTCCATCTCATTGTAGGTCAGCGGTGCTACGGGGATGTGCTTAGCAGGTGTAGTTTTTGCACAGGTTTAACGTGAGACACAGGGGAGCGATAACAGCAGAAAGCTGGTATCCTGCCAGACGCGTGATGACAGCAAAAGCCGGGTAGATTTCGCGTCTTGGAAGCGCTGGTAGAATCTCTTCTTTATTCCAACGCATTAATTTTAAATCTCACATAATATTTTTTAACACATGGATAAAAATGAGATCACATCAAGAGCATATAAAGAAGGGAATCCCCTTCTTTATATGCCCTTGATCACATATATATAGTAAGTTTAGACGTCATGCTCAGCTCGGCGCAACTTTATCTATGATCACATCAGGAGTAAAGAATAGGTACTTGATAACAGAATAGAACTTGAAATATAGAACTAAAGTGAGAATGGAAGGGAAAGAATAGAACTTGATAATAAAGGTAATAATAATAGGTAGTAATAACCTGTTATTTATTCCCAGTGACACATGTCAAGTTCTCAACGCAAACACAGTCCAACACATTGTCTGCTGAACCTTGCGATGCGTTGGGTATGCCTCACGCGAATCATACACGCATATAAAATTTAGTCTATAGGGAGATGCGCATCAGTGTGCTGCTGTGGTGCTGTGGGGGCCTTACGGTAGAGAAGAGCTACGTGTAGTGTGACATGGGTATCATGCCCGTGCGTGTGTGTCACAGCTTATATGTAGACCAGATTGCGTTGTTAAATATTTTAGGAGATGTCATCTAGTCATTGAGCAGTTGTGAATTTGCATCCATCTGTCATATGAAACGCGCAGCCCCGGATGCAGCCCGATAGTGGCACTGCCTTTCACAATGCACGATAGCAACACACACACGCGACAAAAGAAGTGACCAGAAGTCATAAAGTCTTTCATGTTGTACGCGCGACCTGGCCACACAAAACGCATGGAACACCGTGTAATTGAAACTGTAGGGCGCTTCACGAAACGAGTTGAGTGCATCTGAGTCGCAAAGTTGGCATGTTCGAATATGAGCCATATAACAGTTACATGGTGGGTGTGAAATGCGACTGTTTTCTTGGCTCGATTCTCTCGAACTGAGACGCGGGATTCTTCCGCGTTGAAATGGCATTCTGAGCTTGACCGGGTGTACCCGCATGCGTGTTTGTGCGTGCGTGTGCGTGTGTGCGTGAGCGCGTGTGCGGTATTTACAAGCACAGCTGTCGGTCGCGTAGCAGGGCTAATGCCCCTTTAGACTAACTAACTACAGTAGTGACTATACGTTCCTTACCGCTTGTTGACGTTTGAGTTGATCCGTTAGGAGAATTGTTTTGAGAACAGTTCGGTGGCTTGAATAGGATCTTGAATAGGATATTGCCCTTGTTTTCCCGGGCGGTTTAAAAAAAGGCTGCCCCACATCGTGCAATGCGCAACGTATTAGGAGAACAACGGTCTATATAAAAATATTCTCGTAATAGCAGTACGGGAGGGAAGGTGATGTACGGATGTGCTCGTCGTAAATGGAGACTGTTTAAGTGGTCTGTTATAAGGAGACTGTTATAAGAGATCTGGTGGTCATAACTGAAATACTTCGCACACGCATGTGTTAGTATAGCGCAAGTCCATTTGGTGAATGCGAAAATAGTTGCGCATGAGATGTTTGGCAATCGAACGCATATAGCGAGCATGTGTGGGGAATCGATTTTCCTACCTATATACCGTTTGAAACACATAAAGAAACAGAGTCTTTTAATAGTCCCACAAACGCTTGTGTTCGTAGGGTGCTAATGACGTAACAGCAACAGCTGTTTAGCCTCCGAATTTATTACTAGCGAAAGAAAATGCGAGATTGTTTTTTGCACTCAACTATATGATTCACACCAGCACGAAAATCTTCCACTCAGTCCAAGGTCTCAACTAATCCATCTCTTTCAATTAACGCGTATAATTGCTCAGAACCGATGCAAGCCATTCTCAACAGTGCCAGCAGAGTCCAGGAACAGAACAGGCAGAAAATAGATCACTACGTACGTACGTAGCAGCAACTCAGGCGTAAAATATCCAGCCACACATGCGACGCCTTTAGGAAAATGCTATTTGAGTCACTGCGTGCACCGAAATCTTCCAACTTCCCCCACGGGAGCATACATATCGTCAACACTCGCGTTTCTACGTCTCTACAGCATCACGCATGCCGCAGGAAAAATACAGCCAAACCTGTACACAGCGGCCACCCAGTAGAAGCCCAGCGTGTCCTTGATATGCAGGTGTCCGTTCCATATATAGGTGGTTACTCTGTATAATTGTCACTTGAGGGAGATGCAACATGTGACCTTCATAGGCAGGGGTCCTTTCAGTAGAGGTGTTCGCAAACTGATGTGGCTGTATCTGAGTGTCCATTGTTTTGCGAGCATTTTTGCATTCCTCAGCGACGAAGACTTGCTTGAGGGCAAACGGCACTAATTAGTTGACAGTTGTAAATAAATTTTCGATTGCACGTAGTCGGACGAGTTCTCATGCCAGTGCGCGTGTCCCCGCGTCACCATGCACCTGCACCCTAAGGTCAGGTTTACTTGCTGCTGGCACAGCCCCACCTTTACAATCTCTTCCTTCTCCCCACCGTTACAATGTCTCCCTTCTCCCCACTGTTACTATGTCTCCCTCCTCCCCACCGTTACATTATCCCCCTTCTGAACGTTACTGTGTCTCCCTTCCCAATGTTAAGACTTAAGTACTGTGTCTCTCTCCTCAACGTTACCATTTCTCCCCCACCCCCGCCGTTACATTATCAAACACACATTTCTTTGAAGTTTCTCCTCCCACCTACCCTACCTACCATGCCTCGCTCCTCCATCTCAAGCATACATGAGCCAGAATAACAGCGCATCCAAAACAAACACGCGCGATATTTTTAATGCTGCAAGATCTAAACTTCTTGCTGCTGATGACAACGACGGATGTGATAGATGGGCGCACGACGTTTTCTTAGCATTTCGACGCTCAGTGGATTTCCGCTTGAGTGTGCGTCTAAGATGCGATTCAGCGGCGAAGTATGCGCGCCTGAAATAGATTGCAAAACAGTGTTGGCTGTGGTGGGCCTGGTGGCTGGTGGCTTCAGCACCTCTCCCACACACTCGCTGCGACGATAGGCAAGCTTAAAGCTAGCGTTACTATACCCGATGAAGTAGCGAATGTAGCTGATGACCTATTTCCCAAGTACTACCAGATCACGTGTGCCGCCCCCACACATACACATACGCATGCACACGCACTCGCGGGAACGCACGCATTTACAGTTCGGTGCGTTGTAATGTCTGCAGAGTAAAGCCACTGGCAGCAAGAACAAGCCCACACGTGCAGCACACACGCGGCCATTGACTATTATAACAACATATAGTTATTATAATTGTTGTTGTTATATTGTTGTTGTTGTTGTTGTTGTTGTTGTTATAATAGTTGTTATAATAGTCAATGGCCACGTGTGTGCTGTACGTGCGGGCTTGTTCTTGCTGCCAGTGAGTAAAGCGTGCCCGATTACATTTTGCACTGCATTGTTTCGATGTATTGCAACTTATTTTATATTTGGTATACTATAGCATGCAAGCTAGTTCCACATTACTAGTCGGTTTACAGAACGAGGAAATGATAGTCATGTAATCAAGTGCATGTAAACACGCAAGTCAAAGCAGACACAAACCTGATGTTTGCTCACACGCCTTTCGTTCAATGCAAATGTCATCGTGAGAATTCAGTTGGTTAAAGAGTTTTGTCGCCTGCATTCCTACATTGATTGTCAACGGATGGACGATTCAGTAAGAGTTGCTGGGTTGTCTGGGTAGGATATACACGTTACCACGTCCCACTTGACCTAAGACAATAGGGTCAGCTAGTGTATAATGCGTTCTCAATGGTGATTTTCCCACCTGTAAAGTTTTGACACGGACGCGCTAACACCTGGTTGCTCAGCGATGATCATAGACTGGCGCCGACTTGGTGTGCCCTACGTCTTCGCGCTGCATCTTAGGGAATAGGGTGTTAGACTAGGGAGCGATTACCGCAATTTTCAGATGTTATTCTCCGAGAGATCCTGGTTAGCGCTGACCCAAATATCTACAGCGTGAGTAAGACGCGCGTGTGTGTATGTGCCGTGTACGTAGCACCGCTGTTTCATGTATTATGTAATCGCAGTGCCTCTCTGATCACTTACCGAGGTCAAGATGAGCAAGGACAACTCACGATAAACTGTAGATCGCACACGAGCCCGCACACACACGTACGCACACACGCACGCACGCACGCACGCACACACACACACACACACACACACGTACTCTCTCTCTCTCTCTC